AGAGATAGAGGTGGTCCTTCTGGTGAACCCTGTCGGTCGTCTGTATTTGGACAGCTTCACAGTTCCGTTCGTGCTGTTTTCTTCCATTTGCGCTTTCTCATCTTGTTCGGCATCTACATCAAGGTCCGCCCACCTAATACCTTTTCTCAGTTTTCCGTACTTTTCAACGCGATCATTCCGATCTGGACGACTGGCCTGCAATGGTTTCTCTGTGCCAGCATCGTACGGACTCCGACCTGTTGACTTAGAACCCTGGAATTCATCATGATGACTCACTTCGTCGGAGTCGGCGACCAGCTTCTCGGAGTCGGCGACCTTCTTCTCGGAGTCGGCGACCTTCCTCTCGTCGGAGTCGGCGGCGAACTTCGTCTCGTCGGAGTCGGCGACCTTCTTCTCAACGAGATTGGAACGCTCGTCAAGTTTGATCGTCAGAGCTTCAATCATCCTGATTGCAGGGGGGACACATGGAATGTAACTTGCGTAAGTGAAAGTCCTTCATGTAAAAAAAAAGAAAAAAAAAAGAAGTCCTTCATGTTGGCTCCCAGGGCGTGCTGATCCCCACAAAAGGATCGGCGCTTAAAATAAGATAAAATAAAACAAAATAGGGAAAATTGCATCTGTACCCCACTTAAGGATGGGAATACCCGCTATGCCCAGTGAGCAACCAACTTGCATATAAAAACAGAGCCTGTCCAACTTAAGGTAATACCCTACTTTTCCTGTGTGCCAATGTATAGGCGTACCCAGTCCGACAGGCCCTTGGTTGGGGAGCACAAAATTGTGGTTATGCCCAGGAACTGGGCGGGCAAAAAAGGGTATGCATATAATTTGCCCCGGTATGTGCATGCAATTAGCATTCCGGGAGTTGGGTATAACTGAAATTTGGCGCTACCAACCTTGGGTATAACTGCAATTTGGCGGTACCGACCTTGGCCCTCCTCCGTCCTGGGTATACAAATAATTTGCACAGACAATTTTTTCCCCGGGTAGTGATGCAAGTTGGACACCGGGGCTGGGTATATAGCGGGTATTGCCATCTTTAAATGGGGTACCGATGCAATTTTCCTCATAAATTAAAAACACTTAAAAAAGGCTAAATTTAAAATTCTTTCATTTCGATGGGAGTCTGGACAGTTTCTAGCAGGTACAGCTTCCCACCAATAGATTGGAGCAAATTCCGAGCAATTAAACAAAAAAAAAAAAACCCTTCAAGAAACTCCTTGAGAAGAGTGGCTGAGCGACTGTTCTTCCGAAGAAACTCGCTCCCTTCTCCTCAAGATTGTAGCACTCTTCAACTTTGATTTCCAGAGCTTTTTTTTTTTTTTTTTTTTTTTTTTTTAACAAACACAATCCCTCCAGTGCTAGCGGAGCTGGTATTCAGGCTGATTGCAGAAAAGAAAGACCATAGAAACTGTAGAGAAGTGACCAACAACAGATTCAAAATGAGGAAAATAAGTCTAATTTCTATCTCTGCTCCAGGACAGGCCCTTGATACTCCCCAGGGGCCCTTCGGAAATGAGACGAAACAGTTTGTCACAGCCCCTCGTTTGTTGTCCTCTTCTCTCTCTCTGCCTACGGTTTACCGGGCAGTTCTGTTTGTGACGATATATATATAAGGGGTAACTAGGGCGCGGTCCCGATTTCAGTTTTAAATCCACTTTCGGCATCCCTCTAATACAACACAACCCCACCTGACCCTCAAGCTAGGTCGTATACATTCACCATTTTCTGCGCATTGGCACAACATTCGCCAAATCATGACTGAAGTGCATTTTCAAACTAAAACTGTGACTGCGCCCTCGTTTTCCCAGAATTAAATTAAAACTTACGAATCAAAAGTTACTGTGGTTAACCGAAATACAGCCTAGCAAGTTACCTTACTTACCTGATCTAGTTACTCGGCAGCTCACCTCAGAAAGACCAGGAGAGAGGGAAGATTACGAAGAGCGAAGCCTGACACACTTTGCCAAGTAGAAGTAAGAAGAAGAAGAAGAAGAAGAAGAAGAAGAAAGAAGGAAGAAGAAGAAGAAAGAAGGAAGAAGAAGAAGAAAGAAGGAAGAAGAAGAAGAAGAAGAGGAAGAAGAAGAAGAAGTGATAAAACAGGGGGAAGAAGAAGAAGAAAAAGAAGAAGAAGAAAAAGAAGAAGAAGAAGAAGTGTTGAGTTGAATTGAATGGAAAGGTATCGAGACCGATCAGCACATGTCCATGTGTTTTTCCTAAGGGGTAACAGTAACTTCAGTGGAGTCACAAAAAGGAGTTATAATTGCACTCCGGAGCAAGATACAGTTTGCAATTGCACTTGGGGCACCCTACCTGGCCAGAAAGCTGCGTTGTATACGTTGCCCGAACTGCAATTCAAAACTGTATCTTGGGCCGTACTGGCACCGCCAGCCATTTTGCTCTGGAGACCCGAGCCCTGAAAGTTGCGCCTGCAAACTGTATCTTGGCCCCGTAGTGCAATTATAACTCATTTTTGTGACTCCCTCCTTTATTTCTTTGGCTGGGAAACATACTGGTGGCTTAATACCTTTGGTCCAGATGCAGCGATAATGACCGGGTGTTCTATTCGGAAGACGGTAGTGCTTCAAACTTTAAAAGTTAAAACTACATTTCTTCTTTGGCAATTGCATGTAGTCGAAAATGGAATGACTTTTGCTGTGTTCTTGGCGACTTTCTTTGTGTCTTGGGCGGGGGACGTCTGGGGTAGACACAACGGTTACCGCAGACAACACCCTTCCAAAGCGCAAAAGGGAGGGGAAAAAAAAAAAAAAAAAAAAAAAAAAAACCCATGAAAATCACATCAAACGCGAGAGAGAAAGTATCTCAATGGAAGGATCATAGACAGCATTAGACAGCCTTTTTTTCTTTTGCTTTTGTGGGGCAAGTACGCTGGAGTCAAACCCGGCGTTCAGAATATTAGGCAACTTGCTTTTTTTTTTTAAGCGGTTGCCGAAATGGAATGCAGCAAAAAAGGTGACCCCCTAAATCTGCCAAGCGCCAGTGCGGGTAATGAATGACTGGGGCAGTTTTAGACCCCCCCCGCTAAAATTGCACATTTTGAAACTCACACCATGTCAGCGGCGCCACTTTGTCTTTTCTTTATGCCTATTTTTCAAACTAAAAGTGTGTCGCAGCCACAGTTTTCACTCTTTTGGTTTAATAGCGGAACTCCAAGCACGATCATGGCACTCGAGGAGGTGATCAGAGCATCCTCCTGAAGGGGTCCCTTTATCGGAGGCTCCATCTATTGGTGGGGAGCGTCACCTGCTCAAAACCGGGTCCAGCATCCCATACGATCATAGACTAGACAGCTTTGGGTAGGGTGGGCAAGAAAAGGGGGAAGAGGAATGTCTCTACCGGCATAGCTTTTACCAGGAAGAGTAGGGGGAGGAGAACAGCTATAAATGATCAGGGTGGAAAATACTCACCAGGATGAGGGAGCCAAGTGCTCTGATCGGACAGACGGCCTTGGAAGATAGATACTGAGAAAAAAACAGCTGGGATGGGGGTAAGCGTTTTCGCAGCTGGGGTGGGAGGGTGGGAGGGTGGGTAACGGGTCCAGCGATGGGTTGTCAAGGGTGAATTTTGTTCATCGATTTGGAGGGACGCGGGACAGTGCTGCTCCCCACCAATAGATGGAGCTCGTTTT